CACCAAGATGACTGGGATGTCTTACTCCCTCCACTGTTGATGGCCTATAGAACAGCAGAACATGAAGCCACTGAATACACTCCAGCAAAGCTGATGTTTGGTCGGGAACTTCGGTTGCCAGTAGATCTGATAACATGACGCCCACCTTATAAAGAGTTGCCTGAAAATGTGTCAGAGTTCGTGAAAATGTTATCTGAAAGGATGGATGATATTCACCATCAAGTGCGTTCAAACTTGAAAACGTCTGCTGATTCCATGAAGCTATGTTATGATAAGAGATCTACTGAAGTCAGCTTTGTACCAGGATACAAGGTGTGGTTGTATAATCCCAGGAAGACCAAAGGGAAGTCTCCTAAGTTGTATTCTCCATAGGAAGGCCCATATGACATAGTGGATCATCTCTCAGACGTGACTTTCTGAATAAAATGTGGTTGGCGAGGTAAACCAATGGTGGTGCATGCCAACAGGCTTTGGCATTATCATGGTCCAGGACATTTCAGTTGGAACGAAGGGAACAATGGAACAAATGACGCTGCTGAAGACATGTCACCTGAAAAAGCCACTGTCGAAGAAGAAATTCTACCCTTTCTAGAAGGGAAACAGTTAAGCCCTTGATGAAGTTACTACCACTGATGTGACTGTTACCGATAATAGGACATTTCCTGATGGAGCAGATGAACCCTACGTGAAGCAGAAGCCAACGAGACAGAGGCCAGTACGGAAAAAGATACATCCTGTAAAATTAGGAGACTTTTTTTGTATTTTAATTTTGTGTTTGTAAATTCTGTACATTTAATCAAGTTATTGTTAATTATCTATTGGGTTAATGCAAGTGGCTATTGTTCGGGACGAACAATACTTAGGAAGGGGCAGTGTTATGACAGCTCAAGTCACGTGACTCTGGTAACACGTCATATGTTTCTAAAAGGATCATGACTGTTCCTGGCAACTCTTGTGTTTGCCAGACGCCCTCTATTTTTGTATATAAGCCCAGCAAGATATGAATGGCAGATAGGGAGATATAAAGACAGATAACCGAGTCAAGTGAGCAGTAGTGACCTAAAGTAAAGTGCGTGAATCGTTGTGAATTATAGCGTGTGAATTAAGTATATTGGAAAGTTGTATTGAGAAAGAATAAACTAGTTTTATTTAAGAAAGGACTTGTATTGCTGAAGCTTTTCAGAACAATATATTTATTTTAATTGCTTTAGAAATGAAAACAGTTTGAAATCCGATAGCAGATATCGCTAAACTAATAAACAAATTGCAAGTTTTAAAAGAAATAAGTATATAATTTCATCTATGGAGTAAATCAGTTGGGTTTCATATGACTTAACTTGATGAACTAATTAAGTATATAATTTTATCTATGGAATAAATCAGTTGGGTTTCATATGACTTAACTTGATGAACTAATTAAGTATATAATTTTATCTATGGAATAAATCAGTTGGGTTTCATATGACTTAACTTGATGAACTAATTAAGTATATAATTTTATCTATGGAGTAAATCAGTTGGGTTTCATATGACTTAACTTGATGAACTAATTAAGTATATAATTTTATCTATGGAGTAAATCAGTTGGGTTTCATATGACTTAACTTGATGAACTAATTAAGTATATAATTTTATCTATGGAGT